TGTAAGCAACTAATGAAGGATAGAATTAAAAGGGAGAGAATGATTCTGCGGAGGAAGCAGGACACACAGCAGACTCATAGAATGGCAGCACTCCTGCCTCAGATCAACCCTTGGGACATTCGGATCTGACTACAAGGTCCATGATAGTCTCACAGGCATGGAAAGCCATGACACGGTGGCAAAAACCAATCTAAATGAAAGATCCTGGTGAACAAGACCCCAGCAGAAGAAACAGGCCCTCAAGGGGAGAGGCACCTTTCTCTGAAGGGAGGAAGGAACCTCCACTGTGATACGGCCTTGACTAAACAAGTTCAGAGTCGGTGAACTCAAGGGGCTTCCATAGCCTAGACAGCTCATAGCAAGAGTCTCGGGTGATTGCTGACATCATAAATAAGAGTGCCAATTGTTAATCAACAACGGGAGTCACTGGGTACATGCTCCCCACGTAGGATCTCTGTCCTTAATGTGTTCTACTATGAAACTTAAAAACAACACTACTAGTCGAACAATACCCTATACCTTGTGTGGTTGTGTGAGTGCAGCCTGTTGAAATCCTTGCTTAGTATATACTAAGTTGATCTTCAGTATATGAAGGTAATTGAAAATGAAACTCGATGAAGGGCAGGATGGGAGAGGGAGTGGGAGAGGGGAGGGCCACAGGCAGGAGGGAGGTTGGGGGGGAAGCCACAACAATACAAAAGTTGCACTTTGTAAATTCACATTAATTAAATAAAAAAAATAACTATATAACAAACAAACAAACAAACAAACAAAGGAAATGGAGAGAGAGGAACAAAGCAGCCCTGGAGAGCACTCTACATTTGCCAAAGATATCCGGCTGTGCCTGCGTGGGTGCAGCAGGCCATGTTGACTGGAAGAGAGCGCAGGGAAAGGCCATGGTGCCCCATTTACAGGGAAGACTGTACACGCCTGGGCCTAGCAGGACTGGCCATAGGGTTGGGTAAGCACGTTGTTTCACTGAGTGCTCAGAACCTCCTGTTGCTCACGATTGCCTACTACCTTTGTTGTCTGAGTTTACCTGGGGATCCAATATTAGCCTCCACTGAAGCTAAGCCCCACTTGTGTAGCAGTGGGCAGTGTGATCAGGTGTCTCTCCAAGAGAGGCAAGGTCATTGGGTTGCAGTCCTTCTGCCAGAAAGCAAAAGCGAGCTAGGGGGTTTCTGGGCTCTTAGCCAACTGCCATTCCTAGTTGCCCTCCCCATTTCTAACAATACCTCTGGAGTTTTGGCGATAGCTACACCAGGGCCTAGGGGACTCAGTGTTCTCATAGAGCTGTGGGGCACCAGACAATCAGCAGTCATTCCCAGCAGATCTGGTCCTGCTTGGGGGAAGGAATACTGACCTGGATGGAGTTTTCTTTTAATCCCTTACTGACCCCTTCATGAATTCCCTCATGGGTTTCTTCGTGGATCCTTTGTGCATGGATCCCCTCATGCATGGAGTCCCTTCATGGTCGCCAGAAATGCCACCTGAGGGAAGGCCATGGAAGCTGCAGGGTTCTTGTCTTCACACAAGAAAGAATTCAGGCGTGAGACAGAGAGCAGTGTGATAAGGCTTTATTGGGGACGATGCATCCGTCAGAACAGAAGGGACAGAGAGAAAGTGAGGTTACATGGTTGAATGGAGAGAACACACCTGGGCAGGCCATCAGGCAGTTCAGCCGAGAGCAGAGTTCTGAGTGCGCAGTCTGTTTGGACTCCCTAGGTCTTTTTTTTTTTTTTTACAGGCAGAGTTAGACAATGAGAGAGAGAGAGAGAGAGAGAGACAGAAAGGTCTTCCTTTCATTGGTTCACCCCAAAATGGCTGCTACAGCCAGTGCACTATGCCGATCCGAAGCCAGGAGCCAGGTGCTTCCTCCTGGTCTCCCATGTGGGTGCAGGGCCCAAGCACTTGGGCCATCCTCCACTGCCTTCCCAGGCCACAGCTGAGAGCTGGACTGGAAGAGGAGCAACCAGGTCAGAATCTGGCGCCCCGACCAGGACTAGAACCCGTGGTGCCGGCGCCAGAGGCAGAGGATTAGCCTAGTGAGCCGTGGAGCCGGCCAACTCCCTAGGTTTTTAAGGGAGTCTGTTACCCACCTCCCTCTCTCTTCCAGGACAAAGGATAGAGAGTCCTGGTGGAAGAGTTTTTTGGGTGAAAATTAGCAAATTCCTCCCCAGATTTGCTGGTGCCCGTGCAGAGTAGCATGGCTTCCCTTAGGGCATCTGAGAAGGTTTTATTGCTCCATGTTATCAGGTACCCCTTTTGGTCCTGAGGAGAGAGAATTCTCCTGGGAGCTTTTCTTGGGGGAAGGGCTGGGACCACCTGGGAGGTTATCGGGGTCTGAGCAGGACTTTGAAGTGCAAGATGCTGGGCTTCTGGAGCTTCTGCAGTAGGTGTTGGTCTTCAGGCCTGTCTCACAAACACAAAGGCTAAATTTCTGACTTCCTACCTAACAGTATCAGACTAACTGTGTTTGATTCCTGGCTCTGACTCTTGAAAAATATTTCTGCTAAGGTAGATCCTGAGAAGTAACAGAATGGCTCATGTGACTGGATTGCTGCCACCCACATTGAAGATCTGGATTGAATTCTCAGATTCCAGATATCATCACCTGCCAAGTACTGAACACTGAGGACATTAAAGGAAGAGGCTAGAAGAAGTGGACTCTTGGTGTTGTAGATAACATGCCAGTTAAGATGCCTATGTACCATATCAGAATGCCTGAGTTCAATACCTGATTAAGAATCCCAACTTCAGCTTCATGCTAATGGAGACACCAGGAGGCAGTGATGATGACTCAAGACATGGGTTCCATGACACCACCCAGATGGAACCTACATCAGACTGCTCAATCTTGGTTTGGGTTATGCCCAATAAGAGTCATTGTAGGTAGCTCAGAAGTACACCAGCCCATATGGTAGGATTTCTTTCTCTCTCTCTTATCCCCCTGATTCTCAAATAAATATATAAATTTTTGAACTATATTAAAAATAAAAGAAACTTGAAGAGGGCAACTGTTTATCTGAAGACCAAAATGCTATTGAGTAGCAGACCCCAGACTCAGACCCAGACCCGTTGTACTCTGTTGATTTGGGGTATATATAGGTCAATCAAGGAGTGAGGCTACAGCCTGTCTCACTAAAATTTCTTCCATTGATTTTCTTGCCAATACTTCTAGATGTTTGAAAATATAAAAGTGAGCCCTGGATTCCTGGGTAACTCATACATACCCTGGAATTATAATCTGACCCAGACACCACCCCATTACAAAAGTGTGCACAGAAAAGTGTTACCAGGCCCACCACCAATGATACTGACATTCATAGTAGCAATGGAATAGAGTGACAAGGAGGAAGTCTATTTTTCTTTGAGCTTTCAGATTCAGAAACTAAAAGGGGATCTGACATTGTGGCAAATGAGTTTCAGGTGGCTCTTGGGACATCTCACTTCATATTGGAGTGCAAGTTCATATCCTGCTACTCTCCTTCTCATCCAACCTCCTGCTAATGCATCCTGGGAAACAGTAAATGAAGCTCAACTATTTGGACCCCTGTCACCCCTTGGGAGGTCTGGATGGAATCTGGGGCTACTGGCTTCATCCTAGCCCTAGTTGGTTGTTGCAGGTGTTTGAGGATTGAACTAGTGGATGGTTAGAAGAAAGCCATGAGAGTTCTGTCCTCCATACCAAGAACTGTGGTTGGCTATGGATTCCAAGCCCTGAGTATCCAGTGAGCTTCACTGTGCTGCCCGCCATGGCTCAAGGCAGGCTACTAGATCTGGTTTCCAGGCATCACTCCATAGGGAGGGCTGATGCCATACGTTGGAGTGAATCCTCACATTCCTCCCATCTTGACAAGGCACCTCTGCTCTGTCTCCAAGGAGTACACTCTCAAGCCCTAGAAATGAGGCTTGGGGCCTATTTTTGAGTCTGTGCACTCTTTGTTTCATCTATCAATGCAGACCACAGATGTATTCCCATAACAGGAAGACGGGACCAGAAAATTTAGGGAGCTGGGGAACCACACATTGGCTATAGGTGTGACACTCAAGACTCCAATATCCATCCTTTGCCTGTGTGACAGCTGACCAGCAGTGTTTCAGTTGTACACTCCTCCTGTCCAAATAAGAATTTACCTTCCATCACCACCTTACCCACACAGGTCCTTAAAACATTGCTGAATTACCTCACTCTGGGAGAAGTCCCTTTGGGGGAACAGTTGCTATACCTGTTTATGTTGGCCTCATTCATCAACCAGTTTCACTCCTTATGTTTCACCTGGACACTCTTCAGAGGTTAATGTTTTCAGTCTGTTAAGAGTAAAGCTAGGGAGTGATGTCAGCAAGTAGGCATGGCAGGAACTTATAGAGGCTCCTTTCCCTCATAAACACAGAGGGGACCAAAAATTCAAAGAAAAATTTCCTTTGTGGAAAATAAGAAACCAGCTGAAAGAATTGTATATCCAGGTGAGCACAAACTCAGATGTTTGAGAATAAGTAGGAGGCAACCTGGACATCCTTGCACAGGATACCATGAACCCAGTGTGACCTCATAGATCTGGGAGATAGCCTAGTTCCTAGCTTCACTCAAGCAAGGGAACTGACCAGTGTCCAGCATTGCCCAGGTGACAACACAGGTTCTGCCTTTTGTTTTGAAGTCTTGGGGCCAGCATGGCTCTGATTGCATCACCTAGGCAATAATGAAGCTACTGACTTGGTTTCCTAGACATCATTGACTATTGCTTATCAATAAGGAGTGCACCCCCCACCCCAATTTCACATACACACAAAGAATCTATCTCATGATCTTCCCAGAAAACACAATTTAATCAAGGCAACCAGGAATCAAAATATATCAGAGGGGGAATAAAGCAACCTGTCCAGCCATGCATCCTTAATTTTTAAATGTATTATCTGCATCTGCACACACAGGCAGGCGGTCCACGAGGCCTTTAATACCTCCACTTCTATGGGAGAAGAAAGAGAACTTCAGCTTTTTTGCAGTGAATTTATTGAAATTAAGTGTACTTTGGGTTTCAAAAACTGTCTTGCAGATTATTGATCAAAGGGGAAAAATAAGAAAAAAAAAATTGTACTGTATGTCAGCCTGCAGTTGATTGGATGCCACAGTCTGGATTCCTCTTAGTCGCAGGTCTTGGGACCACTAATATGCAGCACAGTAAAGGCTGTCAAATACTGCATACTGCAAAACAAAAGCAGACAAGTCATCTAGCAGGCCACTGTTCTCTTCAATGATCTAATATTGAAATCAAGATGCTTCTTATATTTGTCTCACATTATAGCTAAGCTAAAAGCAAAATTGGAATAATTTTTCCCATTTATTCTGCCCTCCAGGAGACACTTATGGATGCCCTATAGAAGTCAGTACTTTGAGTACATTCTCTTTTTAGGGATTCATTTGCTGGTTTTTTAATCCTCCAAAATTACTATTCTTTAAATAAACTAGGCAGTACAGATGCTTTCTGTACTATTTGTTGAGGGCCTACCTATTTGAGTTGTTTCTGAAATCACATTTCAACACAGAAATCTGCAATCTGAGCTCTCACACAAGGTATGATGTTGCTGAGTTCCTGTGCGACTTTAGGTTGAAAACTATTTTAATAGTCTGTCCACCATTAACTTTGGAACTTACAACACACAGCAGCAATACTTTAAAAATCATTACACTAGACTATGTTTTCATTGTTTCTTGTCTTTGGTTGTTCTGAGTGCATTTTAAAACTATTTATTTGTTTATTTAAAAAGGAGCATTTACAGAAAGAGAGGGAGAAGCAGAGAGAACAAGATAGATAATCTATCCCTGGGTTCACTCCCCAAATGTTCCCAACAAATGGTGCTGGGCCATGCTGAAGCCAGGAGATAGTAGCTTCATCTGGATCTCCCATGTGGGTATCAGAAGCCCCAGTATGTGGATCATCTGGTGGCTCCCATGAACATTTGCATGAAGCTGGACTGGAAGTGTGGAGTAGCCAGCGATCCAATCTGGCACTCTAATATGAGTGTGGTTGCTTACCCTGCTTAGCCTCAACACCCATCCCTTGAGTACATTAAAACTTTTTATTAATTTTCACTTCATTTCAAAGCCAGATACCCAGAAAAGAAGAAAGAGAGAAACAGAGATCTGTCTTGTGTTTCACTCCCCAAATGCCCACGATAGCTTAGGGTAAGATTGACTAAAACACTGGACACTGGTTCTCAGTCCTATACCCTCACATGGCCAGTAGGGACCCATGTACTTGAGTTATCATTTCTTGCCTCCCAGGGTACAAATTAATAGGAAGATGGAATCAAAAACAGAGACAGGATTCAAACTGAATCACTACAGTTTGAGATGTGGATTCCATAAATGATGCCTAAATAACTGTGCCAAATACCTATCCAAAGTGTATTTTTGAACATACAATGACTCCACTATCCTAAATTGTCTACCATGTTTGCTTAACTCATTATGTCTGTAGGTATAATTCTACATTTCCTTTTGTGGACTGTTTTTGGTGGATATTGATATAATACTAAAAAACAAAACAAAACAAAACAAAAAAACCCAAAACTAAAGGACAAGGATTTTAGGCAGAGATACCCATTGTTACCTTTGAGGTTTGAATTGAACAATTCTGCCACCCATGCTGATTTCACACTCATGTTTGGCATTTGTTCCCTTATGAGGTGCCTGGTGAAATGTTGCTTGAACTCAACCACGTATCCTAACACAACATGGTTGCTTGCATATGTTTTTATATTATTTACATATATAATTATGTATAATTGACAAAAATACTATTTTCGTGGACTCAAAAAAATTTTAATACCTTTCCCACGATTTCCTTTTTGAAAGAGGAAAGTTTCTTTGCTGGTTGGTCCTGCAAATAAGTATCTCCTCAAGCATCAAAGCTTTTCTCTTAAACAAAAATATATGTATGTTTCCGTGTGTGAATCTTGTCTCTGTGTTTGTGTATTTGAATCAATGTGTGCATGGACTTGGTTAAGCATTAGTAAAGTTATTTCTAAAGCTCTCTTGTCCCTACTTGGACTTTTAAAATTACTACTAATCATAAATTCCAGAGCAAAGTATCAAATTATGCTCAGGCAACATTAATTTTACTGACACACACACACACATACATATGTACATATACATGTATGAATACATTATATATATCTATATATACAGATATATATCAACATATATATGTATTATCTATACATATATAGGGGTGTGTGTGTGTGGTGTGTGTGTGTGTGTGTGTATGTGTGTAAACCAATTGTTTGTCATTACTGATAATGAACTTGGAACTTACTCCTTCTGGGTGAGTGAATCATAAGGCAGAACCTGAGGAAATCAGCATTACCTCCAAGACCTTAACGTTGGCCAGAGTCTCATTGCTTTGGCTGAGGAAGCACTGTTTTAACTCCTCCAAGGCTACTTTAGCGGCATCAGTGAGGATGTACTTCTGAAGATACGTTGTATAGTCCTCCACAGAAACTGAAGGATCAATGGTCTTGTCAAGGACACTCTCCAGGATAACGCAGCCAGAACCTGGGGAGAAAGCATGAGAAAAGGGGCTCATAGCCTGAGATGGGTACAAGGTTTATGAGTCCTAGTTGTGTTAGTCACTTTTCTACATATACATATATAATGGATTAAAAATGTTATGCAGTGAAATCCAGTGTTTTTAATTGTAGATGGGGGTTCCTTTACTGAAAATTTGTCTTACACATATTCTTCTACAATTATGACGCCTGGGTGTGGTGCCTGTGTGAGACAGCTAAATTGGAGTAGGATGGTATGTGGAGCCCCCATGATCAACTCATGGTGGCTTTAAAAGAAAGATAATTGGGGACTGGTGTTGTGAAGCAGTGGATTAAATCACCACCTATGATATCAGGATATCATGCAGGTGCTGGTTCAACTTTTACCAGCTCTACTTCTTATCCAGTCTCCTGCTAGTGCACCTGGGAAAGCAGCAGAAGATGGCCCAAGTACCTGGCATCTCCCAATCATGAAGAAGACTTGTGTGGATTTCCTGGCTTTTGGCTTCAGTATGACCCCATCTTGGACACTGAAGCCATTGAGGGAGTCAACCAACAATAGAAGATCTTTAAAAATGATAAAAAAACCCTAGATGGACATGGAAGACAGTCTGATTCCAATCTGTCTCTCTATTTCAAAGTTTACCAAGTGGCACTCTGCTATCCTCATCAAACACTAGACTAACTTGGATTCTGGATGTTAAACTATGAACCTCCAAAATTGTGAGCAAAATTGCATGAGGAAATGAATAAATTATGTATATTGACAGGAAGTGTTTTTGACATCTGGGACAATTTCTTTGAAAACTGAGAGTGGTTATATTGGTGATTTCCCTTCCTAGGACTGATACATACCCTCTTTCTCACAACCTTGTTAACACCATGTATGTTAAACTTTCTTACATCTTGTGTTATAGAGGAATAAACAATGGGAAGTCATGAAACTCCAGGAGGTACTTCAGACAACACCCCTGAGGAAATCCACATTCTACCATGGACTTAGATTAATCATCAGAAGAATACCAAACTGTTTCCCTCAACTACTCTACTTCTCAGCATGAAGCAGCCAGAAAGCTCATCACTCCAATATCGCTAATGGCAATTAAGGCTCATTTTTCTAGGGGAGGGAATGGGAGATAGATGACCAATAGGTCATTCCTCATCAGAATGAGGAAAGAAGTATCTTTAAGAGGGTGAAAAATGCTTGCTTATCTCCAAAAGCTATGTTTAGTAAGATAAGTAAGATAAGATAAGCTGAGTCCCATTCCTGAATTTTCAGTTTTAACACAAAAATAGCAAGGAAGTAGTGATTCTACCCTTCTGAGTTTTGGTTGTCATGAGAATAGAAGGGAGAAATTACAAATCACATCTTTCTAATGGCTGTTAGCTTTATCATGAGCAAGCTAGAAAGGATAGACAGTGTTACTAATCTCGCCTTTTGATGGATATTGTCCAATCCTCTGATTGATTGTTAGTTGTTCATCTGTTTTTTCTCCCTCAAAATTGTGCTTAAAGACTCCATTTCCACTAGTTTCTTGGGTGTGCCTCTCTTGGAGCCACCCTCCTGGCTCTGTGGCAGGAGGTCTCTGATTTTAATGAATCTAACTTTGCTAAAAAAAATCCAAAATAGCAGCAACAACAACAAAAATATGAACCAAAATAAACCTTGCTTTTTCCTCTCTGTCTCTCACTGTCTGTAACTCTACCTGTCAAATAAAAAAAAACACCCTTGCTTTGTATGTAACTAATGCCAATATTTTAGCTAAAGTCATGAAGAGCTGACCAGTACATCATTTCAATATTATAATTCAGAGCAACAACAAGATTTCCTAAGAGCATAGATGTACTGAGTTTAAAGAGTGTTCATTAGCTATATTAAATTTGTTATTTGTAAGTAATGCAACACAAAATGCAATGCTTAGGAAATTATCTGATGTGACCTGCACTGTGCGTGAGGGTAGGGCATCAAGATTTGATTTCCTCACTGGAATTCTTAATTGACCCTGGAATCTTTTACATGATTGTGATCATATCACTTTTACTTTTTCTACTCTTCTGCACTATCTTCAGGAATCAGTGATGTGAGCCCTCATTTGATGCGGGGCATTGGGTCACACAGTCAACTCCCTGGCCTTTTGTTAGTGAGGTCCCTGGTCTCATCTCACAGTGAAGAGTTTCCAGGAGAGCCTCAGACAGGAAACTCAACTGGATCAAAATGTCAGGGTGCCATGGAGTCAAGCCCACCTTTATTCCCCTGAAGTAGTTACATCTAACATTAAATTCTGAGATTCGTCCTTGTTTTCATGGTGTCCATATCAATGGTGAGGCAACATGGCATAATATACAGCTCCAGAGCAGGGTCAAAGCCTATGAGAAAAAAGTTGAGATACTTACATGCACTGAGGCTGTCCTGTACTGGGATAAAGGAATTAGGATGTCATCCGCAAGGGCCCAGGTAACAACTGCTATACAAAAGACAGCCCTCCTGGCACGTAACCCACCTGCATAGCAGTAAAAGGGAAGGGTAGCCAGCACCAGCACCAGCACCATCATCAGCTTCATGTTGAGCAGCTTTGTTGGTTCTTCACCCGTAGGTGACTGAGCTGAAGGAATTCACTCTGGAGGCAGCAGGGAGTACTGTTGTATTTATTTCACTGGGGATCACTGCGCCTCTCCCATGAATGAGAGGAGGGGTCATGGATTTAAGCTGAGATTGAAAAGGAAACATCAAACTACCCACATGGAATCCAGCCAGCCTGATCTGTTTGCAAAAGCCAGGAAGTAGTGAATTTGGATCCATGACTACTTTGAGATTGTCATGATGATACAGTTGTATTGTGTCATTATTATAAATTTGGAATTGAAATGCTTCCTTTTCTTTTCTTCTACTTAGTTCTTATCTTCTTCATCCTCATCTTCACTGACTTTCACTTCTCCTTCTTCAGTGTGGAAACAATTTCATGACCTGTATGTCTGGGGCTCCTTTAATCAAACAGCTGGGAGCATTGCAATGGCAAACATGCCAAGATGCAGGTACTATTTTAATTGCATGAAGATGTTCAACAAATGTTCAGTTACAGAGGAAAACAAAACCATTATGTAGGAATACTCAACAGTATTCACAGGGGGCCTATTTAATCTGCACCTCAGCAATGGAATAAATGGCAGGACCACTTATTTGTTCTTTAATCTGGAGCACCTTGCAGGATGAAAGGAGACATGAAATGAATTGGTATGCCAGTAAAACAAGCATCTGACTGTCCTGACTAAGATGGGATATGTGGTCAACTCTCTATGATGTGGGGACATCATTTATCCCCATTGATGCAAAATGCAACACACAAACAATTCAACTTCCCTGAAGATGTTAAGGAAGCAGCAGAGGCAGGATATGAAGTCCAGTGTTCTGAATCTACAGGAGGCTTTCAACTCATCATGTCTAGTGAGTATGACTGTCAGGGAGGTACATCATCTGTTGGGTAGACCTTTGTGGTCAGACTGTTACACTTGTCCTATGTGAATTCCATGTTGAATTTTCTGAAAGACCTATAATGTTCTGCCTGAGACCTGGGATATCTGTGGTATCCCTTCCTCTAGTGTATCTTTCATTATGTCAAGAAACACCTTATTCCGCCCCAGCTGGACATGAAACAGAGCCCCATACTTAGCGCTATCTTGTCTCTTGCATCTCCACGTGTCTACTCATGCATAAGACCTGGTGGTTCTCTGAGAACTTCTCTCCTAACATCTCTAGGACCCTGTCCACTGACATCTTCATACTGTATTCAAACTCCATGAGGACATTCACCTTGCAGTTCTTGTCTTCATACAATTATTATACTGTAGTTGTCTAATACATGATTGTGTAATTGATTTGGGTAGGGTTACTTAACTTATTCTCAAAGATTAATGAATATGTTCTAAGCAACCTTCCCAGGTTTATGGAGAAACAGGAATTTATCTCAACAAAATGCATTGGTAAAAACAAAGATGACAAACACTCTAAAACCAGTCATCAGTCCCATCCTGGCTCCTGACATGTTGACATTTGATTTTCTGCTTGAGGGCTTGGGTGTCTTGAATGAAGGAGGCAGGTGGGCAGAGGATGTAATTGAGCTCCTTCATGCACAGCCTGTGTCATCCTTGGTCCCCTTCTCAACAGTGATCATTACCTTATGATCTTCCCTGGGTCCAGCTATTGTCTTAGGATTGTAACCAGATTAGATAACAGAGCCTAGGTCAGATCATGACTAATTCTTCTTGACTCCTTCACAAAAATTCTAAACTTTATGCAAGTTGAAGTTACTTGATATGCATACTTAAATATTTAATCTTCACACTCATGTGAACATTGGTTTGGACCATTAGCTGTTTTCTTCAACCTTTCCTCTGATGCATGAGTAATTTGTTTTTCCAATTCAGTGCCAACATTTTCCTGCTGACTGTAGTTCCTCATGTTTGTTGTCCTCTAATGCTTAGATGAGAAGCATGAAAGGAAGTGGATGTAGAATATCCTCTGTTAAAATAGTTCTGCTCTGCTAGAAGCAATTCATTTCTTTAGTCCATCTAGGAAGGAGTGATTTTTGGTTTCAAGATCAGTGGTGTCTATAGAGAAAGTACTTCTGTACTGATTAAAGCCAGTATTGTGAGCTTGTGCTGTCATGATTGTTAAAGGCCCATATTCAACCTAACACCAACACTATCAGTGTGACATTATGAGCACTAACACCAGTTTTGCACTTTCCTGGATGAGGAACTGGATGAGGGAGGAAATAGGTAAGGAGATGAGATGGTTGGGGACTGGGTTGACAAGGGCCTCTGTTTCCCTTTTCTTCTGATGTGATCAGTTCCATGACACAATCTAACCTGGTTGCATCTACTGAGCTTGAACAAAGATGTACTTAGTGGTAGGAAAAGGGTCAGGTGTCAGTCCCTGGCTGAATCTCCTTGGTTCTTTTTCCAAAGCCGTGAACTTTATTCAATTTGACATTTCCCTGCATTGTTTGGTAATAAGATTAATCTCTCCACATGTGACTGTTGATTTTCTATCTGAATAGACTCCATGAGGTTAGTAATTTTTTTCTCAATAATCAGATGGTCCTTCTAGCTATATTGCTTTCACAGTTGTGAACCTATAGTTCAGAGGGGCATTAGAAAAAGTATGTAGAGGAACTGATAGGGAGATTTTTCCCCTGCTAGGGTAGTGAGTCTGTACTAGACACATAAATCCACACATCCACTCTCCCTTGAGGATGTAGACTAGATACAGTTTGGTTGTCACAGTTAGTTGGTGTTGGATGTGTTTGTGACATCATGTGTTCAGGACCAGGTTGATTCTCAATATTTCCCATTCCCCAACATAGGTCAGCATCTAACAATAAAAATTATCCATTTTTCTTTCCTGAACACAGTGTTATTTCTATTTACTGTTGAATTCTTTCTTTACTGAAGGATTAAGCTTGTGATTATAAAGTAAATTCAAAGCATGCTATTGCAAAGATTAATGAAAGATAAGAAAAGAAGAAATGAAGAGGGAGGGAAGTAGAGAGAGAGGGTGTGAACTTTCAGTATGGTCTTAAAATTTTGTATATGAAATACATAAAATCTGTTTTCTGTATAGATATAAAATTGTTCTAAAGATTTTTCTAAAAATGTTCTCTTCTCTGAGCAATAAAGATTAGTGAGAGGGAGATTCACACTAATGTGATTGACAGTAGGGTCCCAGCATAGCGAGATGCTGGTGGGAGTGTGGCTCTGTCCTCTAGTGCACTGAGATCAACCTGATGATTAGTCCTTTTACCAGGCTGCATCACACACCTGAGGGGCTTTACTTCCTCCTACTGTCATCCTCTTGTTCTAGGTCCTCCTCTGTCCCACTGAACCATCATTTCTTCACAATCATTATTCTTCTTGGAAAATGCCCATGCCAAATGCTTTTATTCTTTTTTGAATATCTAGAGGGCTTTGTTTTTATGATAAAGCTTCATTTTAGTAATATACTTTGTGTTTATTTTCATTACTACATCTTAGCACTCAACTTGCTAATTAATTATTCAAAGAAATTCAGCAAATAAAGTGTATCTTCTCCTGCTTGATTTAATGCAGTATAGATTTCAGTTTGATCTAATATTTACTGGCAGCATATTAACCTCTTTCTTTGACACTACTACTGGTTTTTTCTCCATCCTTTCATAACTTTTCATTTATGCCAACCATTTTCTATATTTTTTAACTTTAATTTTTATTATTTATTTATTTTTTTTTGAGAACTAGAGTAACAGACAGAGAGAGGGAGAGACAGAGAGGAAGAGAAAGAAAGGTTTTTCATCTGCTGGTTAACTCCCTAAATGGCCACAAATGGCTGGAGCTGGGCCTATCCGAGGCCAGGATCCAGGTGCTTCTTCTGTGCCTCCCACATGGGTACAGGGGCCCAAGCACTTAGGTCATCTTCCATTGCTTTCTCAGGCCATGGCATGGAGCTGGATTGGAGGAGCAGCAGCTGGATCATGAACTAATGCCCATTCACAATTTGGTGAACCAATACCCATTCACAAGCTGGTACTGCTTGTGGATGCTCAATGTACTATGCCATGCTTGGTCCCAACAGAATTTTAATTTTTAAGATGCACTATATATGCACTCTTGGGATAGGAAAAAAGGTTTCCAATGTGAAATATTTCTTCCTTTCCCTATAGAGACACCAGGTCCCACCCTCATCTCCCCTGATTTCATTATGTCTTCTGTTTCAAACTGTTGCCTACTGAGTCATCTGTTAACCCTTATTTTTTAATTTTAGTTTTATTTGCTAAAAGACTTTTAAATTTATTTGCAAGGCAGAGGTACAGACACAGAGAGGGAGAGACATAGAATGAGGTCTTCCATTGCTGGTTCACTCTCCAAATAATTTCAATGGCTAGAACAGGGCTATCTAAAACCAAGATCCAGGATTTTCTTCCAGGTCTACCACATGTTGCAGGGGGCCAAGGACTTAGGCCATTTTCACTGCTTTCCCAGGCCATTAGTAAGGAGCTGGATCAGAAGTGGAACAGCCGGGCCTTGAACCAGTACCCATATAGGATGCTGGTTTCACAAGCAGAGGCTTAACCTACTACACCACAGCACTGCCCCCTTAACCTTTATTCTAATTCACTATTTACCAGTAGTACTATGTCCTTATACATCTATATCTACTCTATTTGGTGGAAAATCTTCTAACAACTTATAGAGAATGTTTCATTGGAGACAACAAGTTTTGAGAATTCATACATCTGGAACTTCCATTATTCTGTCACCAAGTTCCAATGACAGTAGTCTGCATAAAATTGTTCATTGTGGCAGAAATACAGATGGAAATCTTATGAATTCATAAGCTTATTCCTTTACTTTCTAGTTCCCAGGTTAATTGCATTCCTTCCTAGGTCTTAATGTTTCTCTCTGGATATTCCAAACATCACCAAAATGTCCCTGTATGTGAGGAATCATTTTTTTCTATGATATTTTCAATTATTTTTCTGACTTCAGAGGCAAAAATACAGAGAGAAAAGGAGAGGCATAG